AAAAAAATATATATATAATAATATTACTGAAAATAATAATAATTGTGAAAAAATAAAATATAATATTGATAAAAATATTGCACAAAAAAATAAAAATAATAATAATAATAATAATAGTGGAAACAAATACTACTACTAATAATAATAACAACAACAAAGTCTGTATCACACTGACCAGCCTCCGCCCCTCCACAGCCTCTCTGTAGCTGTTGAAGCTGATCCAGGGCCCGAAGATGACCGTCCCCACAAAGTAAATGTATCCCATGAACTCGAGGGGCGAGGGGACGCTGGAGACCACTCCTCGGTCCAGATCGAAGGCCAGAGAGATCGCCTTCATCGCCACCACCATCTGAGAACCTGGAGACAACAGCAGCAAGGGTTCATCGGCATAACGATCAATCACTACAGCGGCCATTTTGGGAACGGACATCTGAAATACCAGGCTCGTCCCAAACATTTTAAAGTCAATAGACAGAAAATAGTGCAAACAAAATGTAAAAGAGAATACTGTAAAGTGGAATAACAAACTGCATATTGTGAAAATACCTGAACATAAATAGATGGACTGTTAACAGATGAACGTGTGAATGACAAATGAAAGTTGTGCGGTCATTGCCGGCAGAAGTCTTGATGAATTAAAGAAAATGAAGGCCGCCTTTAACAGAAAAACTATATGAACATTCACAGACTCTCACACAACTACAAACAAGGTCTCATTTATCCAGTCTGATGTTTACGACCTCACTAAAACATTACTTTTACAGCACTACACAAGCGTAACACTGTTTAACAGGAAGTGCTTTAAATAGTATTTCTCTTTACAGAGGGCATGTTTGGGAGTAGGTGAGCATCCAACTGTTGAAATAATAGTTTTTCTGTTGAATAAAAAGTTCCCAATTCTGTTCAATTCAACACGATTTGTCTCAGCTTCTAGATGATGTGTTCACTCTGAATGCATGTAAGAAGAAATAGGTACATTTCTTCTAGAGTTCAAGGTAAAGGGGACGAGTGATTGATATACAAATGATGATGAAATATTTCTAGATTCCAGAAATGTGTTGAATGATGCTGGAAACATTCTTGTCCTACCTCTCATCTTGTGCCAGTTGGTGGTGTCCATCATGTGAAGCTCTCTGAAGAAAATACACAAGAACAGCTTCAGTTTAAAGTTCACCTATTATGCAAAGTCCACTTCTTCATGTCTCTTCTACATCAACATGTGTCCCCTCTTCTTCATGTCTCTTCTACATCAACATGTGTCCCTCTTCTTCATGTCTCTTCTACATCAACATGTGTCCCCTCTTCTTCATGTCTCTTCTACATCAACATGTGTCCCCTCTTCTTCATGTCTCTTCTACATCAACATGTGTCCCCTCTTCTTCATGTCTCTTCTACATCAACATGTGTCCCCTCTTCTCCATGTCTCTTCTACATCAACATGTGTCCCCTCTTCTTCATGTCTCTTCTACATCAACATGTGTCCCCTCTTCTTCATGTCTCTTCTACATCAACATGTGTCCCCTCTTCTTCATGTCTCTTCTACATCAACATGTGTCCCCTCTTCTTCATGTCTCTTCTACATCAACATGTGTCCCCTCTTCTTCATGTCTCTTCTACATCAACATGTGTCCCCTCTTCTCCATGTCTCTTCTACATCAATTTTCAGGAAAAAAGATTCTTTCTCTTTTTGTCCTGATCAATTTATAAAAACCTGTCTGGAAAATGAGTTGAATCAGATTTTGGCCACTTTATGATGTCATTCATAGCTTTCAGTGGTTTTGTTGTAACCATTGCCAATCAATCACCAACCAAGGAACCCCCCCCCCCAGAGTCCTGCATCAGGTCGGGTACCCGCGACCCGCAAATCTTTTTTGTGGCCGACGGGTCGGTGTCCCGCGGACTAATTTGCAATATGTGCGGGTAGCGGGGCCGGTTCGGTTATTGCACGTTGCGGGTGCGGTCTTGAAAATCGACCCCCCCACACCCCTATTGACCTGAATCTCCTCTAGAGCACCAATTGAGTTCTTTAGTAACACAAATCTCTCTCAGTGGGGCGTGGGGCGAGGGCTCCTTATGTTCATCTAAAGTAACAGACAGAGAATCAGGCACTTGGATAACAGGGCTGAAACAAGGGGATTATGGGTAATGCTCCAATGACCTGTTTGGTGTTTGGAGCCAATACACTTCAAGACATGTTCTGTATATATCTGAGACCTGTAAATATATTGATGAAAAAACAGTATAATATGGGGAACTTTTAAGGGCAAGGTTTTCACTATCCAGTAATGTATGAAGTCAATGTAATGTCTGGTAGGAAAACCAACAATGTGGTGTGTGCAGGTTTGGTTCTACTTACCTATGGGGACACGGGTTACATTGTAGGCTCCTTTCCGGCGACATCGCTCAACCTTAAGTACACTTGCATCATCTTTATTGGCTAGCCTCTCCAACACATTAGTGTGAGGCGGGATAGAGCTAAGACCCGGGACTTTTCTCTAACGTCGTTGAAGAGGATGAAAAGAGGTGCTGCAGCACAGGCAGTATGAAGAAAAATAAAGAGCTTGTTGAACAATAAGCATGGTATGGTACAGTTGAGACACGAATACTGATATCTTCGAACATGACAAAACTGAACACAATATAGTCTTCTTAAGCGATTACGCACTTCTTGGTTTAATCTTATTGTTTTGATTAATCACGCAAGATATGTTTTTAGGGTTATAGGCAAATGATTCAGTCATATCTTGTATTTATTAGCAAGTATATATGTTCTTCCGTCTTTTGTATCACCGGATTGTGGGAAACGGAATTTCGATCCTCTCTGTCTTTACACACAAACTGAAAGATTGACAATAAAGTTGCAGTAATGTGCTCCCAAAGTAGGAAACACAGCTCTCTGTGTGTGCCGGGCTTGTTTTTTTTGTAGGACACAGTGGACATTTTGGGAAACTCCGCTTGAATTTAATGCCTCTCATAAAAATGCTAGTCACCGTAACTAAATCATTACAATTTAATTTATCAAGATTTCCAACGAAGCCTTGTAAATTAATGTGAGTCAACATACCCGGGTGTTATGTCCTCTATATTAATGGAAAGGTTAACGCTGTGTGTGCAGGTTTGTTTTTACTGAGGCCTGTGGGGACCACAGGTAGACATTGTAGGTGAAACTCACCTTCACTTATGGAGGGACAAATGCATGATCCTTATAAAATAAATCATTAATAATTAAAAATTGGCCCTAAGAATCAGGGGAATGTAATTGTGATGTGTGCCGCCTGTGTAGTGTGTGTGATGATGTGTGATGTGAGTGTGTGTTGTGTGTGTTGTGTGTGTGTGTGGGTGTGTGTGCGTTGGTGTGTGTGTGTGTCTGTGGGGTGTTGATGTGATGTGAATGTGCGTGTGTGTGGTGTTGTGTGTGTGTGTGTGTGTGTGTAGTGTGTGTGTGTTGTGATGTTGTGTAGAGTGTGTGTGTGTGTGTGTGTGTGTGTGTGTGTATGTGAGTTGGGGGGGTGGGGGGGGTTGGGTGCGGGGGGGGGGTGGGTGGGGGGGGTGGTGGCGGGGGTGTGTGTGGTGGGTGGTGGTGTTCCTACAGCTGGCGGTTGGACCTCCTTCACAACGGTACCAAGGCTTGGGTTTCTTCGTTCAGTGCTGACCCAGAGAAGACTCTTGACCCTTTCTAGTGGTAAGTGGCTCAGTTGGCTAAACTCCAGCATTGGTGGTGTTGTTGTGTGTGTGTGTGTGTGGTGTGTGTGTGTGTGTGTGTGTGTGGTGTGAGGGTGTGGCTGCTGTGCTGCTGGCTGTGTGGTGTGTCGTGCTGCTGTGTGTGTGTGTGTGCTTAGTGCGTGTGTGTGTGTGCTGCTCACATGTCCTACTAATCCCTCTCCCTTTCTGATTTCACTTCATTGATCCACGAGCACTTTGTGTGCCACTTGATCTACATTGATTTTAGTTCCACAGCGGTCCACCTTTAAAATCAAACACTCAGTTGAATAAACTCCAACGTCTCCCCGACCTCCCGTCTGGCAGGCTTTGATGTAATATGATTCACTGCTTTTTTGGCAGTCTGGACATTCATGAATGAGGATAATATCTACGGTAATGCTTCTCTCCTTTTTCTATGATAACAACAAAATCGAATAAATTCCTCCTAAGATATCCATACATTTAATGTGTACAGAATAATTAAGTACAATTTTCGGAAAAAATTGACACTTGTAAGCACTAGAAGTGAAAGGGAAAAGCTCTGACTCTTTATACATATATATTCATAAATTGAGGATATATTACTCCTGCCCAATGTTAAAGGTGCACAGCATGCTAGCGCATCTAAAACACACAATTTAATACTTTATTTCTTATACATTTATCCCTAACACACAGGGATGTATTGCACAGTAGACACTCTTCCCCATTTTGGTGTGGCCATCCAGAGTGTGTTTGAGCATGGAGATGATTTGCTTTTTAATGGGCTTTACCAACTAAAGCTGTGAAGTTAATTGGCTTTGTTCTGAAGTTATACTGAGCACCTTTAAAGTTCAATCAAATCCAAGCTTTGTGTTCTGGATGTTTCGCACCTGTACAGACGCCTGGCATGTTAGACCCACAGCAACTTTGGTGTTAATTTAGAGTATACGTAACGTTCTCATTTGTGCTAGCCTTTAAAGCGGAGTCAGGAACTTTCCAACAAACAAAGCCCATCATTCCGCTTCATGGCTTCCACAGTCTTAATCGCTAAAGCCTAAAGAAATCGTCTTCCTGCGGCTCTTACAACTCCTGAAAACCTTCCTGGAAAGTCTTCTTTTAACAGTCTTGTCAAAAAAAGCAAACTATTCAGCAAAAATGTTGTACCTTTCTTGAACT